AAAAAATAATCCGTGCTATACCCAAACTGGGATTTTCGATCAAGTAGGCGCTAGGTCTCTAGCTTACGTTTGCACCTAGTGCGGAAAAAAGTGTTGCCATAGAATTTTTGTTTGTTAACTTTTCGGTAAGGGTTGGGTAGGGTATCTGACCTCAACTTTGGACCTACTTTAGAAAAAAAAAAATAAGCCGAAAAATACCCTGTGTTTTTTCTACTGTAGACCTCAGCTACTAAGCTTCCCTTTGTCTTAGTGCGGACAAAAGTTTTGCCATAGAATTTTTTTTTATTAAATTTTCGGTAAGGGTGGGGTTGGGTGTCCGCGGACCCCAACTTTGGACCTACTTAAAAAAAAAACTAAGACGAATAACACCCTGGATTTTTTTCTGCAGTAGACCTCAGCTACCAAACTTCCCTTTGCACCTAGTATTGCCGTAGATTTTTTTTAATAACTTTTCGGTAATAGTGTGGTAGGGTAGGTAGCTGAGGTCCACATGAGAAAAAATCCAGAGTGATGTTCGGCTTAGTCTTTTTTTATAATGTAATAAGCTGGCAAATTATGAAAGCTCATGTCTTAATTGATAGGCATATAAATAAAAAGAAAACGTATGATAGCCAATAATAATCTACCGGAGACAAAATAACGTTGGTTTAGGCAACAAGGATGATGGTCTGGATACGGGGTTCTTCATTTCTGTATTCTTTGATATTCTATGCCGATTTTCTCTATTCTTTAATCAGTGTTTCAGGCCATTTTTCTCTATTCTTTATTTCTTTATACTTTTTGCCAATTATTCTGTTCTCTTTATATTTTAACACCTCATTATTTTATTTTTTTTTTCTTGGTCCATTGTCTCTATTATTTATATTTTTTGCCCACTATTCTCTATTCCGTAAACCCCCATCCACACCCAGTTAAGGTCACCATATAACTTTCATAAATGAACAAAACCATACCGAGTATGCTCCGAATGGTAAAATGATTGAATGCTAATCCCGGTTTAAATTGTGAAATTGCGGAAATTTGTTTTTCAATCAATTGATCAAGCAAAACACATTATCGTCCTGAATATTCGTATAATGGACCTTGGTTATGAATTCTAATCATCTGAGATCAACCTTTGTAAATTTAAAAGTAAAGATCACGCACCCTTATTGTTCAGATTGATAAAGTCTTTTGCATCCGTCGACATTTTCTTCGATTAAAGATCTGATAACCACAGTGACTGTGCATGTATACTTTAACGACCGGGGTAGTTTTCTTATAAGTTTTTAAAAGTAGTAACCTCCCTTGTTAATGTGATGTTGTAATCAATCTATTTATTTGTACCATCTTTATATAATATTATATTGTACAATTTAAATTCGTTTAATATTTAAATATAATAATTTATTTTTTATTAAAGATATAAACAAGGTAATTTGAAAGGCTTTGATTCATTTATCACCGTAGTTCAATTCATAAGTCAGGCGGTCTATTTTGTCTACATTATGTTGAAAGAACACCGGGGTGTTTACATTGGCATTATTTACTATCAATGACTGTGAAACAAGAAAGGAAAACATTGTACATTATAAAACGAGAAATAATTAAAATTAAATACAAAATTCTTGTTTAGTGAAATCAAAAACGAAAAACGGAAACACTTTTGATTTTCATTTTGGTTTTAGAGAAATCAAAAACAAAAAATGAAACACTTTCGTTTTCCGTTTTGGTTTTAGAGAAATCAAAAACGAAAAATGAAAACACTTTTTGTTTTTCGTTTAGGTTTTTGAGAAATCAAAAACTAAAAATGAAAACACTCTCGTTTTTTGTTTTTTGTTTTTGATATTTCAAAATGAAAAACGCCGGAATGGACGCAAATATACACGGACCGTTATGTCAAGTATTTTCTAACCATGACAAGACTATTAAAATGAAATTGTGTTTGTAATGGTGTTTTTATTTGAATTTTCTAACCATGTCAGTTTTTCGTCTAAAACAAAACTGTGTATAAACAAAAAAGTCCTGTGCATATAGTTGCTTTAAACTAAAAATCACATAAATGAAATAGATGACTAATTATCTTAACTTTTAGATACATATATAAAATATCAATAAAATAACTGTAATATAAGGCAAGATCATGTAAGACCAAACAGTAAACACACTTGAAAACAAACATCATAAAACAAAAACACTGTAGACGAACCACGAGTAACTCGACTATACTGACAAATAAGACATATGTGAAATGTACCGAAAATATAAAAATTCAAACCACAAACAATAAGACATAACACAATATCAAACCACACTTACAAAAGAAACATCATAACTAAATACATGAATGTTGGATGTATAAATACCGAGACACTTCGTACAGCAATGCGAATTCACACTCGTCGGCAAAACAGTCATATTCGGGAATAGGCCACGTTCGGTACTTAGCAGACCAGACGACGTAGATGGTAAACCACAATCTAAGGAGTGGTAAAAATGTCGTTAGTTAGTTTAAACACAGACACATAGTATAGACCAACCAATACGTGATGGTGTACATAAAATTTACGGAGTGTCATTTTTAATATGTCCTCCTCATAACTCTGTTGGAGCAGTTTCTGCGTAAGGAGCACACCCCTGTATATGAAGTCCGTTTACTAGTAGTGTGAACATGCACGAGCATAACGTATCAAAAGAGATTTGTAAAAACCATACACATCTGCACTACGACGGTTGATGGTACCCGGACCTGAAATCAGTCACTTAGTTGCTCAATGTGAATTGGCATCTAAAGTCAAGAATGTCAATGAAAAATACCAGACATCACGAACAGACAGAACACACACAAAAGGCTTACTTCGATAAAGCACAGAAGGTGTGCACTGTAATCCATGATTGGGCAATCCATTTAATAAATAGACTGAGGATCCTTTGACACTGGATATAGAAAGTATTGCCTATCCTAGTGCTGCTGAAATGGTTGCTTTTCATTATGATAATGACAAAACTCGCTTTAATAAATTCCTGAAAGGGCTGGATAAAAAGAAATGTTAATTTAATCAGCCCATCAAGACGAACAAGACAAATTTCTTTCGGTAAAAACAAGAACCGAAAGTGGGTGATTCAAGGGAAACAAACTTAAAGGACGACTGTTGTCCATTCTATACACTTTTAAAACCTAGAGAATGTGACCTGGTGGAATTTGTTCAGCATGAGAATCAGTCTGTTCCCGCTGCAGTGAGTGATAATGGTAATCTCTACAGCTGTCAAAAAACGCAGCTTGCGAAAATTCTGGAGACTCACTTTATTCCTGATACTAAGTCAGAAGCTGGTGTCATCATTTTGGACGGATCGGCTTTAATCAATGCATTTCCTCCAAGGATAGCAAAGACATTTGAAGAATATGCAGCACAAGATGTAGTCCCAAAATTACAAACATATACATGATATAGTTGTACTTACACAAGAACAGATATTGTTTTTGACGTATACTGGCTCTCTAGTTTAAAAGCTGAAACACGATCAAAGCGAGGCATAAGTGCTTGACGCAAAGTGACTGCCAAAGGGAAAATCTCACAAAATTGGCGTAGTTTCATGAGAGATATCAGCACAAAGACAATGCTATTATCTCTCTGGCGAATACCGAAGATGTGAATATGTGTCCAAATAAAACAATTATAGTCACTCTAGAAGATGGTGTTGTCTACAATCAGTCAATAAGTCTTGAAAGATTTTAACACTGCAAACAAGAGGAAGCAGGCACCCGAATCTCTTTGGATGCAAAACATGCTGCAGCAGATGGTAACAAAATCATTATGATAAAAGCCAGCGACACAGATGTCCTTTTCATTGTGGCTGCACAACTTGGCTGCATACACTTCCGTAAAAAATGTGTTCATGCCTTATTACAAGATATTATTCAACAATGTACTTTCCAAGGAGTATCACGACGGGTGTGAATACTTGAACGGGAACTGCTGACCCTTCTGGCTTACCTGCGTTTCTTCATAAGCGCTTTGTGATGATGATGATGATGATGATGATGATGATGATGATGGATGGCTGCTTAAGGTCCAGCGCGAAAGCGCTTTGTTATCACAATGACGTTAAACATCTTTGTGTGAATTACTATGAAATTCTCATTGTGAGAACTACAAATCGGGATTAACCGTTAAACGCATCGAAAAGTATTGAACAAATACTGGATGGTATGATTGGACTGTTTATTTGAGAAGCACTCTGAAAGAAGGGCTAAATATGCATTTTAATCAAACTATTTTATCAAACACATATTACAATATTGTTCACACGATTGAAAAAAAAATATTGCTTGTGAAATAGATATATGGAAAATAAGACATTTTCCTATGCGTTATATACTAAATTTTAATAAAGAAAAAACATTTTGATTCATCTTTTGTTTATTTTGATTGATTGCATCGAAACATTAGGCAGGCTAAATTACCAAAAATAACTAAGGTTATATCAAAAACCCCTTTATAGCGGACATTTAACTACAGAAGTTCAGATATGAGAATATTTCAGCCGATTGGTTTAAGCTTCGATTGTCAAGTGGTAATGTTAATGTATTTACACATCATGTTCATCAGAAAAAAAAAAAACAATTTATATAATACGGTAAGTTTACCGAGTATCTTTTTATCATTTGAATGGTGTTATATTTTTCTTATACAGAGACCACTTCACACAACGTTGTTTCATGTGGCTACAAATGATACATTTCATAAATACATTCGACAATTCCCTCTGTCACAGATGATGATGATGATGATGATGATGATGATGATGATGATGATGATGATGATGATGATGATGATGATGATTATTTTGTTTTAAAGCACTGTAGATAATGAAAACTCAACACATTACTCAGGCTTATTAACAACCTTATTTGGTACAAGGCATTTGTAGTTATGCTACAGCTGTATGGTATATCAGATATTATCGTACTTCTGTAAATATAATATTTACGTGCATTAATATAGTCATTGTCTATTTAGATTCAATGGATCCTACATTAATGAAAATCGACGATAAAGAAGCCTTTGCTTTTCTTGGTAAGAATACAGGTAAACATTGCGAAGAAACGCCAAAACCAGGTTACAGTTTATTCGTTCAAAATGAAGAAGTGCCCAAGCCATTTGTGTAAGTAAATCTAAAGCAAACAATAGATGGAGTTCCGTTACATTCAGACATGGGGTCAATTACTTTTGAAAGTAATTAATTACATTCAATTACAAATACAAAATCTTCAATTAAATTACACATTACATTTGACATTTTTTACCAATTTGATTAATTACTCTCCAATTACTAGACTAATGTAATTAATTACTTCAATTACTTTTGAAAGGAAAATTTAGATAAAATATTGAAAACATGCATTTATTCTATGATATGTACATAAGTATCATACATTGCTTTATAGTAATAACAAATGAGATCTACAGCGACTATTTTCAAATTCAGCCAATACCAAAAAAGAGTTAAAGTTAGATATCTGGGGCCGGTTGTTCAACTTGTCTTTAACTTAACGGTAGTGTTACCCTTACGGGAAAAACATACATAAATCTGAAGCGCACATAATACTTTGTCTATCAGGAATCGTTAGGACTAGAGGTCTGGTTTAATTTTATGCTCAAAATGATAAAAAGTTTTATTCAATATTTTTAAAATACTAAATTTTGTTGTTATTACCTATTGACATTTTATATTTTAATGTAATTCATTGAAAATGATACAAAAAAAGATCCATGCATAATTTTAATATTTTGAAATGATTTTTTTATTTTGATCACAACTTATTAAAATTATTATTCCTAAAGAAATGATTTAAAGCCTGACTTTTAAAAAAAAATGTACTTTAGTTTTAATCACAATTAATTGATTTAAAAAAATTCATGCACCTAGAGGTATATTTTATTATCTCTCTCTAATTGGCTTAACACCTGTTAAACAAGCAAACATAACTGTTGTAAAAACAGTCATTATATAATTTATAATAAAACAAATAGCCAGAGGTTATATTTATTGATTGACTATGTCCTTTAAAGTTGATTATGTTAAATCAATGTCTTACAATATCTATCTGAATATACATGTAGGTAACAAGCTAATTCAGGTATAAGACAGTGACTTACTAATGGTTTCCTTTAAACACAAATTATGGCCTGTTTCTACAATCTTTTTTTAATTTTTTAAAAAATTTTTGTTCATTCAATACAAAATAAAGAATCTCCCATGGTTGTGTAACTACAGAGAGTATACTGTGTAGTCTTTGCTTTGTCAGCTAACTACATTTACTAAGGTCATGGCTTTTAATCATTTTTTGAGAAAACACAAGATTGAATCTTTCCAAATTTAATGTAATTGAGTTGTAATTGAAAAATAATTGTCAATTACCGACAATTTTGGCTATGTAATTCATTACTTTCAATTACATGTAATTGAAAAAAATGTTTAATTACACATTACATTCAGTTACTTGAGAAATCGTAATTAATTACGGTCAATTACAATTACATATTTCAATTACCCCATGTTTGGTTACATTTATATTTCTAAATAAATATTTACAAAAATCTAGCAAAAACATCTGTGATCAATTTATGATCTTTTATTTTATGGTAGTATGTCAGGTTTTATGTTAACAAAATGTTGATATTAAACGTTAGAATATGAATAACATTTCCGGTACAATTTTTTCTGCACCAGATAGGGATTTCGACAATTAGTGTCTCTTCAGAGATGCTCGAAGTACAATATTTGATAATTCAAAAACTGATACAAACGTTGAGGAGCTGACTATAAATCAGAGCTAGAACTGAGTGGATTCCTTAATATAAGAAGATTTCCAAAATATTGTAACATCAAATTTCAACAAAATCATATCCGTATTTTCATGCCAGTACCGTATTACTGGTTATTTGTATGGTGATACCATCGGGGACTCACAGTCCACCAGCAGAGGTATTGACTTAGTGCTAGTATTAACATTAACGCTACAAATGTTACTGAATCAGGTGCGCATTTCGACAAAACATGTCAATTCAGTTATGTTCGAATCCGATGTAAGATTTTCTAAGATGAAATACGGTTTATACCCAACAATCGAGATTTCTAAATGTGTGTGTGTGCATTGATTAAAAAAAAGCTTATTCGAAATGTCAAATTTTAACGTCTTGAACACAAATAAAATTTAAGGTACAACCGGTCAAAAACAGTCGACCTATAAGATTTATTGCACATAATGATAGCTTCAAAAATCTAAATATTTTTAATGATATATCCTTATGTATTACATTAAAAGCACTGAACTGAAGTATGATAGCTGTGAAATCGAGATTTAAGTGAATCACATTCTCTAAATTTGTACAGTTGCTTTGATATTAAAAATATCTCAAAATATTAAGATTTGAGTTTAGCACTTTTTTTGAAGGAATGTATAGAAATATAAAATTCCCTTACCCAATAGAAGTGCATGAATTCATTTGTTTTTCTTTCATTTCTTTTCATACAGGTTAGTGTAATATACCTGACACGAAAACCTTATAAATGAGTTGTCAATAAAGAAAGACGATTACTTCAGATTTTCACTTGCCTCAATACAGCCTTCTAACATTAGACTCCATGCAGTTTTAATTTTCCATGTTCTGTTGGTACAAATGTATATATTGTGTACATCCTTCTATTACTATAACATACTATTAACGCCTTAAAACAGTTCTTTTTAAGTTCTGTTAATATTGATGTATATGCTGTGAACATCCTTCCAATATACTGTTAACTCCTTACAGTTGTCCTAATATGTTCTGTTAATACCAATTGATATATATGCTCCTTATTATCTTCTAACATTGTGTTAACTCCGTACAGTTATCATTTATATGTTCTGTTAATACAAATAAACATGCTGTGTATAACATTCTAATATACTGTTAACTCTTTAAAGTTAAATTTTTCATGTTCTGTTTATACACATTTTATGCTGTATACAACCTTATAACTTACTGATAACTCTTTACAATTGTTAATTTTATGTTTTGGCGGTACAAAATAATATGCTGTTTACAACCTTCTAATATACTGTTAACTCCCTACAACTTTCTTTTTTATATAAAAATAAGACGATGCAGTATGATTTCAATGAGACAACTCTTCACAAGAGACCAAATGACACAGAAATTAACAACTATATGATCACCGTACGGCCTTCATCAATGAGCAAAACCCACACCGCATAGCCAGTTATAAAAGGCCCCGAAATGACAAATGTAAAAACAATACAAACGAGAAAACTAACGGCCTAATTTAGGTATTACTGAATTACAGGCTCCTGACTTGGGACAGGCACATACAGAATGTGGCGGGGTTACACTAGTTTTAAGGAGGCAGTCCTCCCTTAACCTAGGACAGTGGTATAACAGTACAACATAAGAACAAACTATAAAAATTAGTTGAAAAAGGCTTAACTCCTCACATGGATACAAACACAAATACATCTTACAAGAACACAGAGTGGACGTGGCAGGGTACTTTTACATCCCCACAACATTAAGACACTTAAGTACAGATCAGAGAGTACACGCAGTTATTGATTGCTAGTTCAAAGTCAATAACAACTAATAAAAAATCATACATCTAAGACTAAAATATCAATCAGTACACATCCAACATCTAATGGATTTAATGTAAAATCGTCATTAACAGTCAGAGAAAGACATCACCTTGTACAATGCCAAGATACAGGTATTGACAGATTGTAGAGCCATGAATGTGCATATGTATACAAAAATGATATTTAGTTTGATTTTAATTTACTGATAACAATATCAATATTGATACCAATAGAAACAATATTCAAGGGTCTAATTACAGTGTTGAATTGGTAACCTTTTTGAATAAGTTTATTCAAAGGATCGACAAGTTAACTCGGATCGTTTCTAACTTTCCGGGCTCGGTAATCAACATCTCCGTAAAAATTAGGATGCGCTATCCCGTTTGAGATTAGTTTTCTGCAGGTTCAACCAAACTTCAAAATCAAATCTTTATATCAATGGAAGAATTTAGTAAAGTTTTTAAGTAATTTGTGGGAAAGAAATCCCTGACTTAATAAGTAAAAAATAGAGTACGTTCATTGAAATCCAAGACGTCACAACAGACACGGGCATAGCGAACGAGTTGTGATATATAAACACCGTAAGATGGTGTCAAAGGAACATCACCGTCCAAGAAAGGAAAATTAATAAAAGGGGAACGAAATATCGTCCCTTTGTCGTCCCTTTGTCGTACATTTTAGTGTAGGGTTTCCCGTGTTAAACTGAAATATCTCAATCTAGGAAAGTACAGTTAGTACCATTTATACTTGATTTATTTAAAGTAAGTTCTTTTGGATAAATTTCGGCAGTATATTTAGAAAATTCTTGATTAATTAACGTAAAAATATTGTAAAGATAACGGTAAGTGTTATTGAAATTATCAATGAAATGCAGTTAAGACGGATCATTACCGAGTTTGGTCATAAAACTGTGATTCGTAGCAGTACAAGAACAAGTCCGCTATTACAGGATGCAATTGTGCCCATAAGAATACCCACAACTTGTCGATAAACGTTATTGCCGACACGTACTTAAATATTAATATATCAAGGAGAAAATGTACAGCTTCAATCATCTCATCACATCTCCAGTAAGTATATATCTAGCATATTTACCTTTCTCATTAGAGAAAAAGGCTTTAAAATGAGCTGCAGCAAATATATTTGCATTCAGATTTACCAACTACCATTTAATTAAATAAGAAAACTTTTTTTGTGGAAGTGTAGTGTAAAGAGTTGAAAAATAAAAACTGTCATCAGAATCAAAAGAACCATCAAAAGTACGTAATTTATCTAAAACATACAAAGAATTTTTTACACTATAAAAGTTAATGATAGTACTTTGGTAGTAGTTAATGAACTAGTTAAAAGAACACCATATTTTACTGTTTTTTTTTGGTGTAATTTAGGTAATCAATACATAATAAGGACCTTTAAATGTTCAGAAAAGGCATTTAGCTGTGATGTGGTTGTGATATGATTGTTTACTATATGATTCTCTACGGACGGACTTGAATGTAGAAGAATTTAAATTTTCATTATGAAAAACGTCCGTGTAGTATTTACGGCATACCAAAACACATTGTTGGCTGCTTTGTCGGCCAGTACAAACACAAACCGATTTGAAAGTACTTGAAGTTTGTTTCTTATTCTAGAAATAGGCGTATTATATACCCTTTTATTTATTTCATACATTTATTTAAATAAGAATCAAGAGATTTTTTATCCGATTTTCCCCGTTTACACTAATTTTTACAATACGATGAAAGAGTCTTTTGTGACGGCACTGTTTCCAATCTATTTTAGATGGAGGATGATATTTTGGTCCTTTTTTCAAAAAGTTTTTAACCTCTCGGTCTTGCGCGATATTGAGGTCTCCCGTAATAACATGGCAGTAGGGATCATATAATTATGTCTTATTTATACACAGTTATATGCTGTGTAAAATTTCCTATATTCTGTCATATATATGTATAGAGTGTTAGTTTTGTTCACCAGAACGTTTTACATTATTTGTAGAAAAAGGGGGTCACTTACAGTCAAAAGGGGGGGGGGGGAGGGGGGAGTGAAATATATTCAGCACTATTATACAAATAGGACAAGCCTTTTATTTGGTTTACACATGGTCATAATAGGGATTCCTATTAATTACTGATTCAATGTAAGCAGTTATCATAACTATCATTATTTTCAGCGCTTCATGCCATTTTATGGCAGCCGATCTGATAAGAATTTTGGGGTTAAAAAACGAAAGCAGATTTGACATGTCTCTTTGTTCTAGACGTGTTCTGCTGTATTTACTTGATGTCATAAATGATCTTAGGTCGAATCTTACCCGAGTTTTGGAAATGTACTGTTGGTTGACATGCTGGATCATATATATAAATATATTTGTTTAGATCCAATTGACCTAGTATTTTCATATGAAATTTTTGTAACGTCAACAGACAAAGACAGACGCCAATTGATGAGAATAGCCCGTGTGGCCCGTTGTGCCATGTCAGCTAAAATTAACATTCTAAAAATAAAAAAATTTAACAATATACAATAGCAAAAAACATTATATAAAGCAATGAAGATATAAAAGAGTATTTGTGTAAATGTTTTCCAGATTTACTTGGTTCTCTTAATTGGACAACATAACATTGAGAAACGTCTGCTATGTTTTGAAAGAGACCTCTAAAATCTTAAAACCATCATGTGTTGTTGCCTGGCAAATCTCCTACTTCATGAATTATGCACAATGCACTCGTGTAAAGAAATTAATAATGCTTCATCAGAAAATTTAATCTGGTCGATGAAATATCAGAAAAGAAGAATAAGTTCATTGTGATGTACATGGGAGGTGTCCGTTGTTATTCTGTGGTTTACATGTTGTAATGTACTATTACATAATTTATTTATGTATTTTTCTGTCCTGTGTGTTCTTGCGTTTAATTGCACTGTATTCCTATCACGTGCTGTTGTCATTTTAGCGTTATTGTTTACTTTGACATATAAGCGGGAGGTTTGGCTAGCCATACAACCAGGTTCAACCCACCTTTCTTTCTTAAAATGTCCTGTACCAAGTCAGGAATATGGCAGTTGTTATCAAATAGTCCATTTCTATGTATGTTGGCGTTGTTTTTGTAGCAGTTCAGTGTTATAATGTTGTTCCGTTGTTTCCCTCATATAGTCGATGTGTTTTCCTCAGTTTTGGTTTGTGACCCGAATTTGTTTCAGTTAAATCGATTTATGACTATTGAACAGCAGTATATTACTTTTACCTTTATTTATACTTCTGAAGCTGAGAAAGTTACACGTTTTAAAAAGATAAAAATCCATAGGGTCTTTATGACAATTAAAAATTTCAACAATAAATATATCGTATTTATCTCTGTCAAAATCAAGCTAATGGCTTGCATCTTTTGGTATTAATATTGTTTTCTTTGTATTTTATACATTCAATAAACTTCTATTTTTAGTGCACAAGATCATGTTTTGAAACAAATATCAATTTTAATCCTGGTATCTATGATGAGTTTATTTACTTAAAAGGACAATGACATTACATTATCATCAAATTAGGTATTTCGCTATTGAATGTAAAAAATGTTATATTTGTCCTGTAAATAACGGAAACCATTAAGGCTTTTTACTTCAGATCCAGAAAAGCTCCATACACTACATTTGATACTGATCTGTGCTCTATGGTCACAAAGAACATATTTAAATTTCAGAGAAATCTGCGATCAAATACACTATACGTTTGGCTTACTATTTCTAATTGAAACCCTTAACAGTATGGGATTGTGTTCTTCGTTTTCGGAGGTCCACAATTTCGAATCAGAACTCAGAACGTACCGAACTTCCACAATCCAACAGTATTTTGATTGAGGCGGGCCAGTTGTTAGACAGACTAATGATCAAACAGGTAACAGTAGTGAATTATCACGCCCTGAAAGCAGTTTTGAAAGAATTGGAGTATAACACAATGCGTTTTAAGGAATCAAGGACCGCAAGCCTCTGGCTGTCTTTTTGTTAAATAGATGCAATTCTTAAACAATTTCTCTTGGCAGAAAGAACTGGTGAATGGACCTTCATTTGACATCTATTAATAATTGATTGATTGGTGTTTGCTTTATGCCGTCTCAGCGACCAGCATGAAGAGTCAACAAGAACTAGAAAAGAAACAGATCATCAAAAAGACATTGTAACACTTCAGGAATTCTTAAAATAAAGAAGACACAGATGATTAATCACTGAGGACTATTGATACTTGTATGGTTGTGCATGCTAATGATGAAGTCAACTATGATAATACAAAAGAAATTGAAGATAAAATATAAGTATCTATGACTGAACAACGTGAAATTCATTTTTCACTTAAAACGAAAAGCCCGGCCGTTACATTGGATGCAAAATACCTAGTACTGATTTTAACATTATACAGACACCGCATGTAGATCCCAAGTTCATGTTCTAATGACAAACAACCACTGGACAGGAAACTTTGAACAATATGGC